CCTCTGGCCGCCACGCTGCAGGGCGTCCGGGCCTGGTGAGGTCCGCGCTGTCGACTGGGCCGGGTGCTCGGTCCCCTCCCTCCCCTGCGCTTTCTGGGACTGGGACTGCCCCAGACCAGCCACCCCCCGCAGGCGCTGAGGATGTTCCTCCCTTGCGACTTAACGCGGTGGCTGAAGTCGCGGGTGTCGTAGCAGCTGTGAGGCTGGTGACTTTCCGGGGCTCAACCCCGGGTTTGAGAATGAGTTCCGGAGTGGCTCTGATTGCACGGGCAGCCCGTGCACTGGGAGATGAGGGGTAGGGGACCTCCATCCTCCCAGCACAGGAACTTGTTGAGGGGGCGGGATAGGAGTGACAAGGGGACGAAGTGCAGGGAGTAGGACGCTCCAGAGAGGTGGGGGAGCCTAGGCTTCGAGCCACGCTCTGCTGCGAGCGGAACCTCTCGCGGTCGCCGCCGCGCTACGGGACCTGGTGACCCCGGCCAGAGCGCGCTTCCGGCCGTGCTCTTGCTCGGGAAGTAGCGTCTCCACTGCGGTTCCCCCCTGTAAACCTGCATCTCTGTCGCCTAATCCAGCATCACCCGGAGTGAGAAGACCGCATCACCTTGGTGTGTTCTCATCAGGGTAGGCCGTCGGCTCCGGATAACATGGAATTGAAGCAGAAGCTCGAGGGAGAGAAAAGTGATCCGGCCGGGGAGGAGGTGAGGTGCCTGACTTCGTCTCTCCCGGCAGCTCCCCTTTCCCTCTCCGTAGGTTTTCTTTTCGAACGTGGTTGCTTTCTAAATACTGCGTCAGGAAAGAAGATCCGGACATGGCTGTAAATCCTAGAGAGAACCTAACTTTTCAGCTCCCTGAAGTTATGAAAATTTGACATACCTGCTCCAGTATCCTGAGGTCACCCAAACTGAAGACAGAAGACAAATTCAGTATACTAATGGGCACGGGACCCAATCGGAAATTGTTCTTTGAAGGACAAACTTAATAGGAAAATCTAGCGCCCCCTCCCCTGTTGGATTCCATTTTTAGACCCTGAAAACTCTGGTTCTTTATCCTTCTTGACTTAACAAAGGTTAAACTCTTATTTAATAAAGTTTCGTGTTTAATTAAAATATACTGCATCCGCTTTTGCTCTCTTCTGAATATACCCCGATTATTTTTACTGAAGTGGGAAACAGTGCTTGATTCTATAGAATGCTACCTGACCACCCCTTAAAGTTTATATGCTTAATCTAAGAGAAACAATAATTGTTATATTTTCTTACTGTTTCATTACATGTCTGCTTTTTTTTTTCATCACTTCTTCCTTTTATTTCCCTATTTCCACTGCTAATAAAAGTGTATTTAGAAATACATCACAGTATGTTTTAGTTGTGCCCCAGGATTTTAAAAGTGGAGTAAATATATTTCAAATTCAATTAAACTAAGCAGAGACAGAGCTTAATTAAAATCTCCTTTGTGTGAAAATTGTCATACAGTGTTAAATGCAATATCGCCTGTCAGTTGCTACCTACGTAATTGTATTACATTTTTCTGAGATCAGTTTCCAAAATAATATATGTTAATCCTTTTAAATTTCCTGAGTTAGGGTGAATGCCCTAGTCACTCTTTGAGGGTACTTTTCCTCAATTTTTAAAATTTTGCTTCTACCGGGATTTAGGACATAGGATGGGAAGTGTTCCCTAGGGGTCCACACTTTTGTGTCTCGCATGGGAAAAAAGCACCAGAAGAAAGTACTGTGTAAGACTCCGAGAGAAGGGGACATGGGAGGGAGGCTCCATGTGCGCATTCCTGGAAGGGAAACAGAAACTCAATTCCGGCCACTGCCCTGGCCCTTAAGGCATTTATGATCTAATTGGAATGGCAAAGACCATGAGAAGGGCATCTAAAAACACAAGGTGGTACATGCTGCCTGTCCAGTAGGTCTGACAATAAGCTGGCTCTAGAGAAAGAAAATCCACGCTGGCTGCTTAAGGAAGCTGCCCAGAGGAGGTGGTTAGTGTGGGAACTAGGGCAGGTTCCAGGACAGGTCTAGGACTTTGGAATGGAGACCAGTAGTACCGGGGTCAAGAGCCAAAGGCAGAGCTGTATTGAGTGCTTTGATACACAAATCAAGGCTAGCATCTGAGAATTTATTTAAAGCGGCACTTAGTGAATGAATGGGGCGCGGGGCTTGCTTATTCTACACCCAAAACCCTTGAGTTAGTCTACTGACACGCACCTATGTCCCCCCACCCCTCTCTCTAATGGACAAGGTGCCAATGGCATAGCCAGGCTTGAGGGATGCACCTCTCACAAGACAGCATGAAGACCCAGCTGCCGCGGACCACAGTGAGACCCACATCTTTGTTACGCTCTCTGCACGGTTGCTGTAGCATGCACATATGGATGGCATTTAAAAGTAAAAACGACTATAATAAAAAAACCCTGGTCCGTGTGCAACCCACATGGCTTTTTATTTCCCTAGCAAAGAAGTCTGAGCATCATAAGACACCAAAGACTTCTTTCCTAAAGGAAAGGGAAGCGAAGGAAAACTCTCCTCTGTCTCCTCACTCTGCCTGGCAGGAAATTTTAATGCCATCCTCCCACCCCATCACACCCACCCCCAGCTGCCAGTCTTCTGTCTCTGCAATCTCTCCTCCCCACCAAAAGCTGCCCCTTTGTGTGTGTGTCTCTTACCGATGACTGCTTATCCTCAGCAGGGCTTTTACCAGGGAGCCGCTCTGTAAGCAATCAGCCTCTTATCTGCATCGTTCGGCCCCGTCACTCTGGTCACCTCTTAATGTTCACAAGTTCCCCAAATGGGAAGTAATTGACCTCTAAACAAAACAAAAAAGCTCTCAGAGAGATAGCAGAGGTTCCTTTCCTGACTGTCCCAGGGCTAGGGTCTCACCTAGGCCAGGTGGATAAGTCAATAAATCTGCAGACTTCCTGGCTCCCTGTCCCTCTCCCTGGCCCCCCTCAAGCCAGCTCCTTCTGATACCATCTGCAAGTCACGTGGAGCAGAGTTACCAGAGATTTTCAGCACTTGTTTTGTATGTAGTAATCATTATTACCATTATCATCAGGATTTGGTGGGGTATATTGAAATCTTTTATAAAAGCCATTTGAAAAGTATTTAGAATGCTCAGCATTTTACCAGTTCTTCATTATGTCAGCTTGCTAAGTGGCCCCTTCTCACGTCTCTGGTTTAAAAGCTGTGTTCCTCTTGCCTCTTCCTGAAGAACAGGCCTCCATAGAGAGATGGTGGTAATGGGCTGGGAATTGTCTTTTTCTGGTCCCAGGTGACCTTGAACCAGCCTCCTAACCTCTCTGGGCTTCTTTCCACATCTGTAAAATTGAGGAGCTGGGTCTCTGTGACCTTCGTTATAATTTTGAGTGCCTCCCTGTTCATTTCATATGCCTTTAACTTTTGCAATTGGGAGATAGATCAAGCGTGCAGAAGACTACATACAATGTGGGTGTATAGGTTAAACAATACCTGTAAACACAGATAGAATTCTCATTCAAGGCAAGAAACATTGGTGCCCGCTCCCCAAATGCCTTCCTCCACACACCTCTCCTACAATGCAAACTGCTTCTCCTGTTCTTTTCCCAAAGTGAGTACCAGCTCTTCTGACTTCTTCAGTAAGAATCTCCAGGCTTTTCCTTATTGATTGACTCACATGAACAAAATTATTTAATTTTGCCTGTTTTAAAATGTTACATAAGTGGAATAATCCTGCAGGTACACTTTGGTGACTTGCATTTTTTATTCAACCTGATGTCTGGGGGATTTATCCGTGCTGTCATGGGTAGCTTTAATAGTTTGCTCATTTCTATTGCTGTGTTATATTACATTAAATACATATACTTCAAAGTTTGTAGTAATTGAAAATATATGGGCCAGGGATTTGGCTCAGTGGGTCCACTGCCTGCCTCACAAGTGCAAGGTCCCAAGTTCAATCCCTGGTACCAAAAAAGAAAGAAAGAAAGAAAATATAGGCAGTTTCCAGCTAGAGATTGGAAGAAACACTCTTGCTAGCAGCGTCTTTCTCCCAGGAACAGCAGTATCATACAGCTGGACTTTGTCCTGGGCTTTCTTGCTGTTAGGAATTGCTGAACTAGGACCCATATTCTGATTTACTTCTATTTATGTAACAAATAGCAGCCTGCATCAGCATACTCTTGTAACTATTGTATGATTTCATTCTTGGATTTGCCTTGCCATGAGTACTACTCTGAATCCATAAGAATAAAATGAGGTGTGAGCCCTGTATGTAGTAGTCTGGAGATGAAGTGTATGAGCGGAATTAGTGTAGCTCAGCTGTATAGTGAGCATGCTAAAAACAATCAGGAGCAGATACATATGGAGCAAGATGCCAGAGAAGGTGGCAGGGGGCAGAATAGATATAACTGCATCTCAAGTACCTGAGATGATGGGCAAAGCATACTGAAGACTGGCTTCTGCATTTCTCCCTTCCTGATTTGTCCACATTTTCTGCTACTTTGAGTCTCCAGGGACTCTGGCTCATCCATCCCTTGGGCCAGCTCTTGAGAGCAGAGCATTCAGTCCCTGAGCTCTTTCTCCTCAGCAGCCCGCCCCCTCTCCCCCAGCCAGGACAGAGCTTCGTGGGAAACAATCTGCCTTCCGCTGACTTTGTTTACACTCCTCCAGCACACCCCCCTCCCACTTCAGCCCAAGAGAAAGAAGTGATCCTAGTGACAGAGTCCAGATTCCATCCTAAGAAAAGCAAAGATATGCCCTGCAGCCCCACCGCAAACCTTGGTGTGCTTTCTACCACGGTACCCAAGGGAAAGGTCTCAAAACCAGTCTCTGTCAAACCTGTCTTCCTCCCATCCATGCCTCAGTGATTCCTGCTTCCTCTGTCACCAGCCCAGACTAATAGCCTGAAACTTGTGGGCCCAGGAAATGGGAATCCTAAGTGACAATGTGAGGGGCCCAAGGGGCACCTGGCCTGTTATGACTCCTGGCTTCTTCAGTCTTTCTGTCTGGAGCCCTTCACAGAGCCATAGACATTCCCTATGGGAGTCCTGTCCTAAAGCCCAGATTGGGTTGGGCTCCCTGGTGCATGCTCCTGCAGCAACTTGGATTTCCCATCACAATGTACTGACCGTCGTATTGCTTGTTCTTTAAACAATGAGCCCATGTCTGGTCAGCATATTTCCAGGCCACACTGTGCTGGTCTGGCTAGGGGCTTCATACCCTATGCCATTTGGTCATGTGATCAAAGCATGAGTAGCTGCCATTGGCTTCCTCCACGGCCCCACAAGTTCTGCACCTAAGACTCAGGCTCTGACCTTGGCAGTCAGAATTCTCTAGAAGAAATCCTTTCTCTGTGAGAATAGGGATCTGGCTCTGAGCTCCAGTCATAGAGACCCTTAGGAATTTCTGTCAGCCAGGGCCAGGACCATGGAGAGAAAGAAAGTCCCACCAGCCTCTCTCCTGTAGGTCAGCTGAACTTTAATTAGCAAGGGCCAGGAAATATTCAGCTGAGCATCGTGGGGGGACATAAGAACAATCTCTTTGAAAAACACCAGGAAGGACCTACTGCCAGGAGTGAAGGCTCTTCCCTGCACTCCTGCACTGAGGAGGCAAGTGACAGAGACACGAATGCGTGAAGCCGAGCTCCTGTCTTCACGATTATAACAGGTCAGGAGAGAAAAGGCACATGAGGCATAGGCCCAGGGAACAACTTTTTATGACTGCAGTAAATCACTCCTTGCTTATACTGGGGGACACAAGCAACAGAGAGAGAAGTTTAGCTATTATCTAAAACCCACTCCTTCACCCTCATGGTCAAGTAAAGAAGTTCTGGCTAAAGGGATGTAAAAGAAATAACGAGTGTACCTTCAAGCATATAGCCTTCGAGGGAAGGAACTTTCCTTCCACCTCCCTTCTTTTCTTCCTGCTCATGGGGAATATAGAGGGTGAGAGCAGTAGTAATTATCCTAGATGACAACAGATCAACAAGATAGGAAGAAACTTCTTTCTAACACTATGAAATCATCATATGAGTTTACCTGTGCTTACATTCCAAGACTTAGAAAAAATGTATCTTTTGTCTTCCTGAAGCCACTGTTATTTTGGCCTGTGTTACAGTGACTAAACATGGGTCTCAATTAATGAAAGCAAGTAATGAGAAGATCCATGGGGGAGAGCACAGTGAATGTTCACAAGAGAAAGTAATGCAGCCAAAGCGATCCAGGAGAGCACCACTTAAGGAAAGAGGTTCAAACAAGCCCCTGGGAAGGGGAACTAGAATTTGGGTGGGTGGAGGGGAGGACAGGGAGTTCACGTAGAGGGTTGCAGAGAAGGACACAGAGCACAAGGTGCACGGAAACTGAAGGCTTGGGTGAGTGACATAACCCCCACGTGAGGATACAGAGGCTTGGGGTGATTAAAAAACATTCGAAATATACACTACTAAGTGTAGAGGTAGAAGAGGGGCCTCTGACATCCATTCGCTTTCCACTATATTCCCTCGCCTTTTTTATAATCATCACAAGGTGCTGCTCCGTGCTGTCATTTAATGACCTAAACATAATAGCTGTTTGCGAATGGTTCAGCACCAGCCCCTGCTTTCTGATCCATGGGTGGTTTGGATTTTTCTGATGCTGCTATTCCATCCCAGCCTCAAGAGAGAGTAAATCAGGAGGGAAAGGGTCTAGTCTAGAGCACCTTCAGCTGCATGAGGTGGATGAGATCTCAAAGTGCCAGTCGAACTCAGATCCCCAGCCAGGACACCTGCAATCAGATCAGTCCTTTAAATTCATTACAAAGAGATGCCTGCAAAGGCCAAGAGCTTTTGTGCTAGAAACTGACACTGACTGCAGAATTTAAACTGCCCACCAGGGGACACCATTGCCTCCAGGTTCCCCTGTGGGAAAGGGAATCCCCACATTCCCAGGGACTCCCCCAAAGCCTCTGCCTTGCGTTCTGAGCAGAGCTTCAGGTTTATTTCCAGGCCCAGCCCCTTGCCTCCCTGTCTGGATATTGAGGCCTGGGCATAGCAGAAGATGGAGGTTCAGTAAATCAGGGTTGCATGGACACAGCTGTTGCTGGCAATGATTTCAATGAGAGGATGAGGGAGCTGTGATCAGCGGTGTCCTTCACAGTACACAAATAGTCTCCAAACCAAACCCTGGCTCATTCAATTGCCACTTGAGAAAGTAGGGCACCAAGGGACTTACCCAAGATCATTCAGCTTGTACATCAGTCAGAAAACAATCTTGTTTACAGGTGCGGGAATGACCTTGTATGAAAAAATCCCCTGTTTTTAGAAACAAACCCTGAAAGGTTTGTAAAGTAAATTCTGCTATAGACCTACCTGTGGCTCTCCTCCTCCCCAGGCTCAGATGCCCTGAAAGGAAAATGACCCATCTGATTGGCAAACTGCTCCCAACTCAGAGCAGAGTCCTCAGCTGTCCCTGAGTCATTGGGCCTCCTGGACTCTGCTTGGCTCTGCTCCTGGCCAGCTGTGCAACGGCAGGTGAGGCCAGGTGCAGGATGACAGGTACTTTGTCTCTCCAGTCTTCATCCCGGGTAAAATGGAATGGGTTAAACCAGCTTTGGGTTGTAAGTGACAAAGACTAATTCACAGAGGCATCAACAGAAATTCAAGACAACCTATTGGCTCACAGCTCAACAGCAAGATTAAGACAGAGCTGGGCTTAGGGAGGCTGAATCCAGGACTCAAGCCACTCAGTGACTCCTCCTCTACCTTCTCCACCTCTCTTCCTGGTCAACATCAGTATCTCAAGTGGACTGAACTCATAGCCAGACACAGCTAGAAGCAGTTTGAAGCCATGCACTGTA